CAAAATCCACATGGCCAGTTTCCTCGGCGACTACATCACCATCGAGGAAATTCGGTTGAGCCGTGCTTGATTGAAAATCAGCAGGTAACACATGGACCATACTAATTTCCATGTTATCCAAGACTGACGGGCCCATCGGGTTGGGACCCTCCTTGCTAACCTCATCCCTCGTTTGGTCGATGACTGCGGGCTCTGTTTTTGTCAGAGTTGGACAAAAAGACTCCTCTGTCCCTTCTTCGAGGGTTTGAACCTGCGGTGCTGCTTCGGCAGCTTGTTGGTTCTGTGTGACCGCAGGCCGGTGAGAGGAGACAGTGTGACAGTGGTGCTGCTTGGGTCCTGCCTGCTCCTGGTCTCTGGTAGTATGGCATCATCTCTGGTATCGAGATAAGCATCCAGACGTGCAACACGTGCTACTTCATCGGTCGTGAGGCCGAAGAGAGAAACCGCCGAAAATACTTCGAAGTGATATCGTAAATACTGAAGATCCTCCATTGAGAAAGGAAGGTCGGCTGCAACGATATCAGTGTATGGGTCGACTTCAAATCCAAGGACACGGGCTTCTCGTATGTGCTGGAACCTTGCCTTCAATCCCGGGTCAGAGGTCTTCTGGATGACGCGCTCGGCGTCCGGACAAGTCAGGACTAGATCAATGGTGTCCTGGCATGCTTTCGGCAAACCATACAGATCGTTGGCCGAATGTTTCTTATGGAATTCGCGCATATATTCTAAAGCCTCCCCAAGGAATGGTGGATGCAAATTCCGTCGAATTTTAATCAACGGTTCTTGTATAGCTGGCTGGGCTAATTTGCTCTCGGCCTCTTGCCTGAAATGCTCGAGGCGTGCCTTCATCTCCCCTGGGCGAAGAAGAAGTTTGATCCGTTTATCGGCTTCTTCGAACGTGGTCTCGATATCTCGGTCGACCAACCGTTTCCCCTGACCCAACTCTGTCATAATAGCTGGAGATGGTCGTTCATCACCAGTAGCAACTGTGTCCTTCGGCCGCCATTTAGGGGCCGAAGTTTCTTGGGCTGCTTGCCGACGGGCCATGCAATCTATCCTCTGGTGCCGGCGTTTCTGGGATTTGGACAACGCGGTGTAGACGCCTTTCGAAGAATGATACGTGTACCAACGTTGATCTTTAGGCTCGGGAGGTTTGAAGGTTTTTTGACTCCGCGACGATTCCGAACTACCAGAATTACGCGTATAATAGTCCTCGTCATAAAATGAAGCGCCAAAATCGAGGCGCCGCCTGACTGAGGATGTCTCTTCCATCTTCACTTTTGGGCCGAGCCTATCAAAAACCCCTTGGTGTCGGCCGACGCCGGCTGCTTTTTGCTGAATTGCGGCCGTAGGTCGTTCTGTGATAGGCGAAGATGGTTTCTTCTCTGGCTCACTGCCGACCTTCGCTCTACATTTACTGCAAAAAACCGCCGTCCCACTATCTTCATCGGTGCTATAATCCCTCATAGGTTTAACAATAGCAGGTCCTGTTAAAGCTGTAGGTGGTTTGTTCGAACGAAAATCGGCCATGAAACGTGGCCGAGAATTCTGAGTACGAAAGTCTTGCGTCGCAACAACTTCGGCCTTCCCTTTTCCTTTGTCCTTAGGTAGGTATGCATCGACCATATTCACGGTTGCTGTGGGGAAAGGATCAGCATCAATACTCATCTTCTTCTCTGGAAATTTCAGTTTTCCATTATCAATCCAGCTCTGGACGTTGTCTCGAAATACGACACAATTGTTTGTCGTATGTTTACTTGAATTATGGTATTTGCAATACACCTTTCCTTTAAGCTCTTCGGCCTTGGGAATGTTGTGTGTGACCAGGCCGAAGTTTGATGATCCTTGCTGACAACAGTTGATCAAAAATTGCGTCAGCCTTTGTAATATCAAAAGTATACACTTTTGACGATTTCAATGTTCCTTCAGTGGCCGAGCGGCTTTTGACTTCCCTGGAGTCAACTTGAGTCAAGGCCTTGCAAACGTATGGCTTATCTATTACTATCTCAGCCGCATCCACACTAACGCATTCATCCTCGGTTGACGCATAACTGACGGTAGGATTCTTGTAAATCGTCCCCCGAGACGGAGTTTTCGAAATCTTTTTCCTCGCGGAGCAAATAATCATACTGTTCGACATGTTGGGCTAATTCATACATATCCCGAACATTTGCCCCCAAGAATTTCTTTTTGTATTCGACGTCGAGGCCGTTCAAAGCAAGCCGGACGAACTCGACTTCGGGCAAGGGTACTCGGCACCAATTCCTGGCTGATTTGAACCTGGTAAGATAATCCATTGGGGACTCATCTGATGCCTGAGCCATCCTTGCTAATGAAGAAACCGACACCTCCAACCCTGGTCGATAAAACTGCTCGTGGAATTTCTCGACCAACTCCTCCCAATTTTGGATGGAATTAGGAGGGAGATTGATATACCAAGCAAATGCCGAGCCGGTCAACGAGAAGTTGAACAGCCGTAATTTATGGAAATCACTATGAACATCGCCGCATTGCGCGGTGAAACGAGCCACGTGCTCCAACGAAGACAAGGACGATTCACCGGCAAAAAAGGCTAAAATCCGGAATCTTGAAACCTTTCGGATATCCGAACGTTTCTATGTAGGCCGGGTACGGATGGATAAACTTAGGAAACTTCGGCCCTTTCTTCATCATGGCCGAGTCGATCATCCGCTGAACCTCGGTCATATCAACAGGTGTTGCTTCGACCCTCTGGTCGATTCCGTCCGACCTACTATTTGACCCTCCGACCTTTTCCAAGTCAATTGGTTTGGGCCGAGCAGGAATTGGCTCGGCCTCGGCCTGTACCATTGGTAACGGATTATTTCTTGGTGGCAAGCGCTGGAGAGGATCGAAAGGCCTGCCGTCACTGAATTTACTAACCAGCATTTCGAGCAGTCTGGTTTGCTGCTCAGTGGAATTGAGTATCACGTCATGTAGCTTGTCAATACCTCGGCTAAACGTCTGCTCAACTGACCGAGACTGCTCGTCGAGTCGCTTTCGAAGAAACGACCTTGTTGGTGGGTCAGATCCTTCACCGCCATCCTCGTCGCAATCCTCCACTATCCCTTCATTGAGAAAACAAGTGTTCCTGTTAGGGATTTCTAGACTGCGGTGTTGACCGCCGAGATTAACTTCCCTTTCTCGGCGAGTCGCACTTGTGGACTCAGGTGTCCCGGCGCTAAGGGGATTCTGCGCCTGTGGCACACTTTGTCCTACGTTCTGAATCGGTAAATCGGCTGTTGATTTTCCCATAGCTGTTTTCTTTTTTTTACCGATCGCGTTTCAATTGGCATGAACTTCGTAGTTTTAGCACTGGGTCCCACTGGGCGTGCCAAAATGTTGACCCTAAAATCTACCAAGCCTACGTGGCGCGCAGGCCGAATATATTCTAAGCTAACTACGTCCTTCGGTGATTGCGGGGCGTGCCAACTCGTCGTCGCCGAGCCGAGGCTCGGCCGAGGAGTAAATTTGATGATGCTGCGTTGGGTCGCGCTACTGACTTCTGCGTCTTGCGATTGCGGCCGAGAAAGGAACGCGTCTCGGCCTCTTGGGTTCTCGAGCCTGAAGACAAGGCTGCTATTTCTTACAAAGTTCACGAACCGAATTCGGCTTACAATGTGCCGAATGTAATAACTGTAACACCTCACCTCGCCGAGAAGGCTAATGAGATGACCTCGACCAACAAGGATTCGAAAAACCCTTCTCGACCGAGACTTGGATAGGCAATCGACCGTTCTCGCCGCAGTGCTGTTGATGCCAACGGAAGATACTGCGAGACCGACCGACTCTACGGTGACAGAGCTATCTATGCCGACTTAAGATATCACCGGTTGCTTCCACAGTGCTGTTGATGCCAACGGAAGATGTGTCAGCGAAAAAGGAAAAGAAAAAGATCTCAAGTTGTGAGAGTTTGCGCAGGGCAATTTTGTATTGATTTTTGTGTGGGTCTTTCCTGATGCACAGCTTCCGCTATTTATAGCACTGGACCCCGAATCTGAGATAGAATCCCATTCGGACTAGGTTTTCCCTCTCCGGATCAATATCACCTCGACCAGTCCTGTTTTCATTAGGATTGTGAACCTAGTCCTTATTCGAGCCCTATCCGCTTCTAGGTTGTTAATCCTGCCGAGAATCCCTATTGTATCAGGACTCGGCTTGTCATTGCATTTTGACCTAACTGGCCTAGGTTTGGAAGCCCATAAGCTGAACGATCCATGGTCTTCTTGTCGCAAGGCCTTCCGGGCCGAGAATGGCTCTACACTCGGCCCAAACTATTATTTTGGGCCCAAACACATATATAAGAGGTCTTATATGGCAAAGAAATTGTTTAAGCGATAAGGGCAAGTCTTTAATAGTCTGGAATACCAAGTAGTGAGACTTTATATTAATTAAATTGATAAATAATGAAAAATAGTATTTTTTTCAATTTAATTTTAACCGTTCGTTCTCGTACTACTAAATGGTCTGAAATATTATAAAAAAATTACATACGATTGTCCTAAAACTATTACATTTTTCTACACTAAAACAAAGTCTCTATTAAGAAGCTGCTCTTGCATGTTCGCAAAATGATTTTAAATTGAACACTCTGGCTAAGGTATGCATAAAATTAATTGACATCAGTATGCTAAGATATTTTTTTTCATATATATGATATGGTGGTGGTTTTGTATGTGAAGTCATTTTAAATGAATCTTAAACACCTTTTTTATTTTATCACACACTCATTTTAATTTTTAACAGTTATATTGAATAAATTAAGCAAAAACAGGTGACATGAGAAGTTGAAATGGGCGTGGGTCTATAACTTTTGTTTTTGGGTAAGAATTAATCTCAGCTGTACATGTATGTATAGTTGTGGCAGCCTTAGGGCCTTGAGATCTTAAGAGTTGATCAGACAATATTTTGTGGTGATCGATCCAGCTGTCCTATGAGATATAAAACTAGCTGGCTAGGGCAGCAGAGATGGTACGAAATTAGGAGAGAGTTGTCTTGTTTGAGTTGAAAGGGCCTTGAAATTTTCAAACATGATATGAATGTGGTGGTGGCCTTTCCCTCTGCCCTAAATCTCTTTCCAGTACTGCTTCTTAGATCTGCATGTCGGTGATTTCACCTTATTATGTTTATATATACCCTCGCCTTCGTCTGCCTTCCTGTACCTTTCCATTTTCTCAGCTATTAGTTCTCTCCCTTCGATCTTTGGCAATAAACCCGAGTTATGTATACATATAGAAGTATTCATGTATAGTTTTAGTGAACAAGCATGCCTCTTCTACCTGGTCAAAACAACTTGTATTTGTTTGCGTGCATGCAAACCCTATATTATGTGGTGTATTTACTTCATGAATTCAATCCCTAGCGCTTTATAGATGATCTTGTATGTGTGGGTGGGTTTATGTATGTATATGAAAGGAGCTCTTCTTCAGTCCAGTCCGGGGCAGTTTAAGGGCTGACACTCAGCTGCTGACTCGTTGGTTCAAGAACTCATCGTACAAATGCTAAAAGAAGTGGTGTGTTTCTGATCCAACGAAGCAGGAGCTGAGAGGTTGGTTATTGCAGTCGCGTCTTGGACTGAAGGGAGCTCCTTACCTAATTATTCGTTATACAACTCTAAACTGATATTCTAGGTAAATGATTGACTAATTACTCGATTTATAAATTGATTTTCGTAACTCTAATTTATTTTGCAGTAGCACTTCAAAGCAGAAATTAAGAGATATGAGATGCCTCTGGGAAGAACCTATTTTTTCTGGATATACGACAGGATGAGGGGCTTTCTTTGAAGATCGATCTTTGAGAATGCTACAGAAGCTGCAACCGCCTTGCTTGAGGCTACTTACTGGACTCACTATTCCAGCTGGAGCTTAGGTCGATGTATTGTATGGCAAACTAAGAAAGATCGAACTTGTGTATATATGACTCATGTATTTTTCCGTTGTGAGTTGTTTTTAATTCACTGGTGTAACCAGTTAAAATCTTTTATGTCTTCCTGTGACCTGATTTCAAGGCTTCAATTTGCAGTAAAAATACAAAACTATCAGATTAATGAAGATTGAAGAGTAGTGTTTAAACATTTGATTACTAATTTATATTTAATCAACTAGTATCGTGACACAATAGAATATATTAATGGCTCATTTGATTATCGTTAATGGAAGAATAAGGAATCAAATAACGATCGAACGAAAAAAATAGGGACATGAAATAGTATTAACACCTCCCTAATTAATCAAATTTCTGAAACTGGATTATTTCATTACGAATTTTATTAGTTTTATTATAGATTACATACAAATAAATGCAGAAAAAACTGAAGGGAGTCGATTCCTTTTCTTTCATTCTCATTACTGTTCATTCAGTAAACCAACTTAAGTATAATCCTTTGAAACTTGGAAGTTGGCCTATTCATTATAGTTGCTTTTCTCCCCACTAATAATTAACATGGTCTAAAAGCTGCTGTTAGAGTTTATGGAGAGTTCTATTATAAGAGTCGGTCTTTTAGCATTTCTTTTCTAGCAATCATGATCCACCTTTGAGACCGTTCTTCAGTTGGATTATTTTTGTGTTTCTCATTAAAAATAAAAGAAGATATTGACAACTTATATGAGAGTTATTAATATGCTAAAAGCGTTACAATACATATTATTATATAATTGGTGAGATATTTAGAAGAAAACCTTTTTTTTGTTGTATTAGTATGTGATATATTGCCTTCTTGTCCGAGCACACCAATACTTTTTTTCAAATAATTATATATTGATAAATTTCAATAAACATTCAGCATCGGTTAAATATTTTTTATCAGTGTCGGTCCGACTTCTCTTAAATAAAAGGACTTCATACTTCCTAGTTATTTTATTCAATAATATATCAAGATCGGTGCAATTGTTCGAAGCACACTCACAGAGGAAGGCCCCTCTCATTTTTTGTGTCTGTGAATATGGTTAAATCACGTTAACATTTTATATATTATTTTTTTTATAAAAATAGTAATATAAAATATTGACGTGATTTAACTATGACCATACAAACAGAAAGATACGAAAAATAGAAGGGCAGAGAATTTGCCTCCTCAGAGAGGAACCTATCAATATAAAATAAATAAGTCAGGTTATGAAATCGTATTGGCCGTTATTTTGTCCGCATCCACCGTAAATCCTCAATCATTTGCAAAAATGTACATTTTTGTTAAAAAATAATAATATTTGAGTGCCGACCAAAGCTATAAAAATTAAAGGGTAAATTGTTTACTACCCTTATGTTTCGTGGTTTTCAACATTTAGTATATCAAATTTTTTTTATCTCAGAGTCATACCTAAAGTTTAAATTTTGGGACAGTCTCATAATCAAACTTTTAAATCTGCCGTTAATTGTGATGTGACGTTCATGTGGACAATGACTAAGCGTCAAGTGTCATCCACGTTTTTTTTTTCTTCTTCTTTCTTCTTCTTCCTTCTTTTTTTTTTTTTTTTTCCTTCCTCCTTCCTTCCTTCCTCATTCTTCCTTTCCCTTCTTCTTCTTCTTCCTACGAATCAGGGGAAGATTTTTTTTTCTCTTCTTCCTCCTCCTCCTCCTTCTTCTTCTCTTCTTCTTCTCTTCTTCCGACGAATCTGGGTTGCAGATTCGGTTTTTTTTTTTTTTTTTTTTTCTTCCTCCTTCTTCCTTCCCCTTCTTCTCCTTCTTCCTTCTTCTTCCTTCATCTTCCTTCTCCTTCTTCCCCTTCTTCCTCCTTCGAATCTAGGGAAGATGAAGGTTTTTTTTTTCTTTTCTTCTTCCTCTTTCTTCCTTCTTCTTCTTCTTCTTCTTCTTCCTCCGAATCTGGGTTGCAGATTCGGTTTTTTATTTATTTTTTTCTTCTTCCTCCTTCTTCCTCCTTTTTCTTCCTTCTTGTTCTTCTTCTTCCTCCGACTACAACTTTTTTTTTTCTTCCTCCTTCCTTCCCCTTCTTCTCCTTCTTCCTTCTTCTTCCTTCTCCTTCTTCTTCTTCTTCTTCTTCCTCCGAATCTAGGGAAGATGAAGTTTTATTTTTTATTTTTTATTAATATATATTTTTTATAAATAATTTATTTTTAATTTCCACGTGGGTGACACGTGACGTCCAATCATTGTCCACATGGGCGCCACATCACAGTTAACGGAAGATTTAACAGTTTGACTAATTGATGTAGGAGACTGTCCCAAAATTTACACTTTAGGTATGACTTTGAGACGAAAAAAAATTGATGTACTAAATGTTGAAAACCACGAAACATAAGGATAGTAAACAATCTTTTACCCAAAATTAAAATATTGAGTGGCCGATGATAACAACGGACATGGATCCTCTCTGGATCCAGTGATCCTAATCCATAAAGTTCAATCATTCAGACCGTTGAAATTTGATTTAACGGCTACAAACAGAAGTTCACTTTAAAAGTTATAATAACTTTAATGGTTAGATTAAATTTCAACGGTCGGATGATTGAACTTGATGGATTAGGACCACTGAATCCGGAGAAGATCATGTCTGATAACAACGGCCAACTCTGCTTGCTAATGATTGACAGTCAAATTCCCAGCTGCCCTGACTTCAAGTGTCCATATAGATGAGAACTGTAACGCGCCGATTCAAACTGATATAAAGCGATATGCCAAAGTTATAATGGGTGGATGATCCAAAAGGCAGCAGACTGATTTTCGTGCATATTTTTTTTTCTTTCCAAGTGTGCGGAAATCTAATTTTTTATGTGTTAATTAATATTAGTTATATTATGAATTTAATGTGCAGAAATATACTTTTTTTGTATATTAATTTGATACATAATAGGCTTTTTATATTAGTACCTCACAAAATGTTGAATGCATCCCACATTAAAATTTAATATTAATGCCTTATTTACTCTACTATGTAATGACAATTTTAACCTTATTAGGTTTAAAAAATAATAAAAAATTTATAAATACAACCCAAATTACTTTTAATGTATTATTTATCTATTTCAACTATCAAAACCCCTCACATTCTCCATTGTTGAACAAAACCATAAGCAATGAAACTACAAACAAGTTGATTGAGAAAATAATTTTTGACGAATGAAACACGAAATCGGTGTTTCAAAATCTTTGAAATCATTACTATTGTTATTGAAAAACGTTTAAATGAACCTAAACATTTTTTTAAATCATTTAATTTGAAATCATTCGGCAAATTAACGTTTAAATAGTTTGAAATCATTCGGCAAAATAAAAAATGAGTGTTATAAGATTTGAGAAATAAGGGGTGTGCGTTGAAAATATAAGGTGTATATTAAGAATGTGGGGTGTGAGAGTATTATGGGCAAGGAAATGAGGTGTATGAAGATAATTTTTAATTAAAAAAGTAAATGTGGGATATATTAAGTATGTGAAGTTTATTCAACAATTTGTGAGGTGCTAATATAATAAGCCTACATAATATGGGTTATATACAAGGTAACATGCATCTTAATATGGTTATTGAGGAAAAAGAAATTACAAGAATCAGACCTTCCTTGAAGAGTGGATGAAAGAACTTGGAAAAAGAACTTAATTATATCATTAATTAATTTGGAGACCTGCATATCTATGTATTAATTTATACGAAAAAATTAATATTATCCATAGCCGCTAGTGAAGACCGACCCCCTTTGCGAGCTCCAAAAAATGGAAGAAAACCGTAAACGTTGAAGTAGGCACGCTCAAAACGATCAAAGCCAAGAATGCCAAAGCAAAACTCGGCCTGGTGTTCATCAACTGGGACTGCAAGAGGCCCATGACTTGGCATATAAACGAATCGTAGGTGGTGTAATATCGCTTCTCCCAGTCCATCCAATCCGACGGAGGCTCGTAGTTCCTCTCCACCATCTTCATCTCGTGAACTCTCTTCCGGAGAACAATCATGTTCTCGTCCACCAGCCTGCCGCTGTAGTTTTGGTAGTACTTGTCTGCATGATCGGCTCCTTTCCTACTCGATGCAAAAACCCTAGTTGAAGAAACGTTCCGGTTTGGGTTTCGGGTTGTGCCGGAAATCGGGTGGAACGAAAAGACGTTGGAGTAAGAAGAAGAAGAAGAAGAAATGAGTGAAGTTGCTACCATTGTTTTCTATGATGTTTGAGAAATGGGAAGATTTGTGTACATGAAATTTGATATGCAATTTTGTGGTGGAGGCTCTTATATATATAGGCCTAATTATGCAGCTAATAAAATAATAATAACGGACGAATAATTGAAGAGGAGGTTCTAATTTTGTAGATTAAAGAGAAAAGGAGGTGGGGCATGTGAGATTTACAACTCACGAGGCACTCTTATTAGCTAAGAAACTGGGAAAAGGGAGATGGAGGCTTAACCGTGTTTTCATATTTTAAGGGACACTTGCAGTTTTCGACGCGTTATTTACGTCTGAGATTCGAAGAAGTTTAGCTCCTGTCACATCATTTACAGATTGAGACTGTGGGATGGAATCCGATGGACAACACGAATTTAATCTTCAATCTTGTGCTGCCAATTTGGTACACGGCAAACTTGATCATGCACATTGATTTAGAGCATCTCTAATGATATAGGAAAATTGTATTATAAAGGTTGATGTGTTAGGTTTCTTATTCAATTGACTCTTAAAAAAAATTTGTCACTTCAATATATTAGGCAAATCAAGTAAGCAAAATTATATTCACATAGAATATTTTCTTATAAAAAAAAGATGATACTAAATTTGCTTACTTATAACATTGTATGGAACGTTGTCTACTTTGAAAGAGTAGTCAAAATTGACAAACTCAATTACTTATATCATCGGAGTTACTTTTTGCATATGTAGTTCATCATAATGAGTTTGTCTATTCCATTATATACAGCATTGAAGATACTAGCATTCAAGTTTAGATAAATCGTCATAAATAATCAATTTTCAAATTCTAAAAGTTGAAATGGATTAATCAGTTTTTAGTATGTCATTAAAATTTAATTGTTATATTGTTAGTATTCACGCTATATCAACAACATTTAATTGATATGTCGTGATATTCTTCTTAATTCGTAAAAGAACTACAATTTGATTTCTTATTATTTTAGACAATTTCCTATACCATATCATGTATAAAAAATTAAAATGTTGGCACAGGGAGTCGGGAACTGGAAGTTACATTTGCCCAACATGCATCTTGTTTCCTTCCTGGAATATATAAACAAATGAAAGGAACTTTCGTTTATTATATTGTAAATTATTGGGGACGTTCTTGGGAGTTGAATTTGGAGACCCCACCGGCGTGGTTGGCTCGACTTGGACGGCGATTATATTGTTACTTATTTGGTACTCATAAAACTTGATTGTTTATAATTATGTTTTTCTTTTAATTTTTGAACAAACAAATACGATGAAGACTGAAGTGGAAGCCACGAGCAAGAACATACAAATTCCATATCTTATTATATACTGGTTAATTACAGGTAGCTTAACTGAGAACAAGGAGAACCTAAATATAATTGAGGAAGCTAGTTAATTTCCAGCAGCAGCAAAACCCACCTGGAAAAACAAAAAACGTTCGTATAGCAAACAAGGAAAATACTGTTGGCATTAATGATGATTTCAAGATGCCCATAAAATGTTATTTGATGAATCAGGAACTCGTTTGAAGTTCGGGAGAAAGAACCACTAAATCAAGGGCTAATTAATTTGGGTTTTGTGAGTCGAAATTTGATTAAATTGCATGTGCTGAACTTTGCCAAGTTATCACTATATGAAACATATCTAATGAAATTTTGTTTTTGGTGAAAAATAACTAATACAAATTAGTAATGCTATGGAGACTAAATTTGTTAAACTAAATAATGTGAAAGATGATGATTGATAAACGCACTCATTTTCTATTAGTAACACATCATTTAGTTTGCAAATTTTGTCTATAAATTTAGTCTCTTTAACACGATCTAATACAAATTAATTCAATATACATACACGAGTGAACGATTTTTCAAAAAATAAAAAATTTAAATAAATAATTAATATGTGTATCTATTTACAGAAGCCAATGAAGCCACGCATGCTTGAACTAAAAGTGAATATTCCCATTGGCTAAGATCCCCTTGAAAATGTCCAGCAACGGGAACATCAAAGCAGCCGCGGATACGGGCACGCTGAGTGTAACAAGAGCAAGCATTCCCAACGCCACGCTAGGCCTAGTGTTCATCAATTGGGATTGCAGCAACCCCACGCCTTCGCAGATGTCCGAGTTGTAGTGTGCATAATATTGCTTCTCCCACTGCATCCAGTTCGACGGCGGTTTGGTGATCATCGTCCTGCATCTCCGCGTCGCGAATTCGCATTCGAAGCACAATCATGTCCTCGTCCACAAGTCTGCCGTCGTAGTTATCATGACCACGCGACGACGCAGAAATCGTCATAGGACAATGCCTACGCCGTATTTCCAACAACCCCGTCTTTCGGTTACAGCCGGAGTTGAGATGCCGCGGCGGTGGAAGAGCTGAGTGAAGTGCAGTGATTAGCATTGCTGTAGACATGGTTACTAAGCTTTTAGCTTTTCCAAAGTTTGATGTATGTTTTTGTTTGCCAACGAGGTACGTGCAAGGTACATATATATAGATGCTACCAATGTGAGAGAGAGAGAGAGAGAGAGAGAGACCGCGTAGGAGTGACATGTGGCAAATTGCGCGTGGCTTTTTTGGGGTTGGATTCCTTGAACTTGAGGAGAGTGAACCCTGGAAGAAGTTTCTTGTTTTGTAAGTTATATTGTGATGGGGACGGCAAACCAATTCTAATCCATTGATTTTATACATTTTGCGTAACCGTTTTTTATCCGTGTCAGCAGCCGCCATCTCATTTTCTTTTCCGACACACTTTCCGATAAAGTTGAAAGATCTCATATCATGGTTATCCTGAAAACGCTTTTAAAATAGGATTTGAATTGTCTGCCCTCCCATTTCGGTGCCCTTTCGGTGCCCTTATGTTTTATGTGATCACGGTTAAGGCACGTCAATATTTTATATTATTTTTTATAAAAATAATAAAACAAAAAGAAATAGTAATATAAAATGTTGACGTGGCTTAACTGTGATCATAAAAACAGGAGGGCACGACGAAGGCATCAAAATTGGAGGGCAGACAATCCAAGTCCTTTAAAATAACTGTAAAAAGAACTGAAGGCACTCAAATGTTTTTTTTTAAATTTAATTATATTTTTACTAATAATTGATTTAAAATTTTTTGTTTTTATCAGCTTTCAATGATTTTAAAAATAATTTCAAACGAGCATTAATATAACACATCTCACGAGGACAATTTGACCAATTTCGCATCGTGTTTTAGAAGAACTCAATCTTCGAAGCTACATAAACAGATGGATGCCAACAGCAACATGACTGTTAAAAAGATTTGTTCTGTAGACGGTTAGGTAGCGTTGAATGAAAGGCACGTTTTTTTATTTTTATTTTTAATTTTTATGCCAATGCAACATATATATATATATACACACATTATTATTATTATTTTGACCTAGGCCAATGTAACATTCTAAATTACAAGTCTACCGAGGCAAAGACTCGAACTTGAGCTCAAAAGAGCAATGTGCGGTTGTGTGCCTGTCGTAACCAACTGGCCTAATCTGTAGTACATTGAAAACTCGGATAACATAGAAAAGCTTTTGCATGATAAGTAATGAACTAACAGAAAGATAGTAGTGCAAATCATGCCTTTCTCTTGACACAAAATACTGAAAAAGATCCCACGGAAATACGTCTACGCCGGGTTGCCATGATCATATACGAAAGAAATACATCTTCATCCATTGCAAGGTGGTAGCTATGATTTCTAAGTTGATTTGGATATACAATACTGCAACACGATTAATCATCGTCAATCGTCTTGTTGCATAGGAAATATGGCTCATTGGGACAGAAAAAGGCACGAGGCTCCCTTATTTGCTAACATATCTCCTTTACTTAGCACCTGTATGAAATAGATTAATAAATAGTGGCACATCTCATAACAACACTACTAATGCCCAAGTAATCACAAACCTTCTAGGACAAAGTCAAGTGGAGGTGTTTCACTTGGTGGCTGGTTTAATTCGACCTTTTCAACCGTTAGGGGTTGTTCATTTACTTCCTTTGGCTCGTTTTGTTCATCTTGTTCGGTATTTAAGAGCTCAGGTTGCACCGCTGGTTGGATTTGGTCAAGAGGTGCGGCCTCCAGCAGCTGGTATTTTGGTTTGTTTTTCTGAAGGAGAAGGTAAGTGGTGCTATACCAAAACAACAGTATTCTACTTTGAGCTACCAATGTCTCCCTGATGTGACTTCCTCCGAAAGAGATGCGTTCAAGTGCCTGCAATGTAAGAAGGAAACAGAGTAGAAGGTCTTAGATATAAAATATCAGTGGCAAAATTATCTACTTCATGAGTAGTGAAAATATTCATATGAGATAGGATACTGATCACCAAATCCCAACACCTATTGCTAGATATGGCTGTGGAGGAAGCATTTCTCAATCAACGATACTGTGTTAATTTTAAGAACCATACATATGGAAGTACAAAATTGTGATACTAGTGCAAAGGGTTTACGCCTATGCTTCCTACGTAGTATTAGGTTCTATTAATAAAGAGCAGACGGTTCATTTTCTTGAAAGTTCAAACAGGGTTCTCCTTGTACCTGCTCTCCGTTTTGAATATCGTAGGAATGCTGATGATCAAATTGAAGACCCCTAAACTCATTGATGCAAAGACCTTGAAAAGCCCTGCAATATACAATCGTAAGGTAAATGAAACAATACTTAATTGTATCATATGATCTATATAACCAATCAATGGACTTCTTCTTTCCTTCAGGAAAATGGCAAGTGATCTTTGATCTTACCATCTAATTAGAGAGACACTAGGAATCCAACGGAAGATGATTGGTGTATTCTCTGCATTGACATAATAGCCTCCAAATACAAGAAAAACTGTCATAAGTGAGGGTCCCACAGCCATAGCTGCTTCAGTGGTTGGAACCATAGCGCCAACAGTTAGACCCATAGCAGAGGCCGCAAAAGATTCCACCGTCACAATACCACAAAACTTCCCAAATCTAAAAGGCCACAAAATTGAACGTAAACCTTGTCATCAATCTTAATGAGGCCACCTTTCAGTTTTCACAACAATAAAATTTGCAAAAAGAAATTACCAACCAATGAACAGTAAGTATCCTATACAGGTATACAGAACCCTGACATTTTTAATTCCAACTCCTTTTCTACTCCCCGCTTACTGATTGCCCAATCACCCTGAATCCCTGATATGCAT